GGATGTCATTCAAATTACCTAATATTTAGATGTACCATTATGCAATATATTGGTCACTATTTGAAACATAAAATCAACAGCCCATAGTCAACAGGCATTCTACATCATTAAAAGCAGTTACTTATTAATAAGTAACCTATGCAATAAATTTCATCATTATGTCCATCTAAGAAAGTTTCTAACTTCATTCTCCATAAATTCTCTGACTTGACATCTTTTCTGAAGACCATAGTTTGCCAGAGGTTCAGCCATGAAAATTCTATACTTTGTTGCTATGTTTGTTGTCCTCTTCCAAATTTGTCCAGGTAAATGGAGAAATAATATTGGTGGGAGTAGATTTTATAGCCATAAACAAGCAAGACAGATATCAGTTGAATATTGAATATCTAGTGGCAGTGATTGTTTTGTGATATTGCTATACTGGCAGCACCCATGTGGGGAAAAAATTGAGAAATTCCTCACACACAGACTTGACCCAGAATTCTAGTTTCAAATGACTATCCAAGTACCCTTCACTTTATGTGAAAACCTAGTTCTCTGGAGAAGGCTCTAATAAAGGGAAAGAAAAGAAGAAGAGGTTAACCAGCAGTAAGGTGGGTGAACTCATTAACAGTGGCAGTAGGTGCATCATTGAAGACTTGAAGGATCTGATTAGGGACAGACTATTAAGGAGAAAATCTATGTGGTTGCTAGGGGTTGACACCATCCTGATGGCACATAATCAACCAATCAAACAAACAAACAAACAAACAAACAAACAAACAAACACACAGTTAAGGAGAAAATATGCCTAAGAAATGCTCCAGTTATAAACTGTCCAGTGAAGACTAAACATACTATTGATAGCTAATGAAAGTTAAGAGATGATTGAACTTCAGAGGCTTTCAGACAGCTGCTAAAAAGAAGCTCTTCAGCACCCCCTTTAGTGGAAAAAATATACTTTCTTTTGTTGTTCGTACATCGATTTCGATGAAGAATTGACATCTTATGAATTATGGGCCATCAACGGTGTGTCCGTAGATGGCTGATAAGACCGATGTTAGCACGGAATGTTCTGCCACATACTGAACAGAGAAAAGTGGACACTATTGCTTCAGCATTTGCAGCTCTGGCTTTACGGAGTGCTCGCTTCTCTTGTGCCAAGATTGTCCTTCTGTGTTCATACGTCTGGTAACCCTGGTAAACAAGGGTACGCCATGTCGGTCGATCATGCGCCAAAGATTCCCAAGAGATGGTGTCGATATTCAGGGGCTTGAGAGATGCTTTCAGCGTGTCTTTGTATCGCTTCTTTTGTCCCCCATGCGATCACTTTCCTTGAGACAGCTTACCATAGAAGAGCTGTTTAGGGATGCGATGGTCTGGCATCCTTACAACGTGGCCTGCCCAGCGCATCTGGGCTTTCATCAACAGAGTGTAAACTGATGATAGGCCTGCTCTGGAGAGGACATCTGTATCTGGTATCTTATCCTGCCACCGGATCCTCAGAATTCTGTGAAGGCAAGTCATGTGGAAATAATTCAGTTGCCTGACGTGCCTCCTGTACACTGTCCAGGTCTCACTAGCATACATCAGGGTAGTTAGCACTGCTGCCTGGTAAACTTTAAGCTTAGTAGCAAGGCTTATTCCACGGCGGTCCCACACATTAGTCTGCAGTCTGCCAAATGCAGAACTTGCCTTGGCAATTCTACAGTTGATCTCGATGTCAATTGTCATTTTCTTTTACTGGGCCATTCAAAGGTTGATCTAATTGAGAATTATAGTTTGGAGATTACTGAACTCAGAATATAATCAGTGCATCATACCTATGCTCATTTTCTAGCTTTTGTTTCCAGTATTAAAGTTACCATAAACCATGTAAAAGGTTTATAGACCTAACATTAAAAGATCTTTTATTAATTAAGATTTGAGTATGGCTTTTAGATCAGGACTGCAAGAACTTGGATGGTCACAAGGTGGCAGCCATGACATTTTTGTGCAATAGATGTGAGAATATGGTGATGACAAAGGTAATTATTTCAGTACAGAAGGAGTCTAGAATATCAGTGAATGGAACTTTAGTCTCCCTTCTGAGAGAAGGGAGAAGTATTTTCTGAAGGAAAACTCTGAGCATACACAGTATCTATTTTTCAGGGATGTTTTCAGGGAAAGGTGTTTCTGTATTGTTCAGATAGCAACAGTTTATGTTATTTAATTGTATTTTTAATTAAATATGGCTATACTAAATTTCAAAAGAAACTGTTAGGGAAGTATATATAACATATACCATAGAACAAATTAAGCATAAATATTGTGGACCCAAGAATTTATTCTCAAGGAAAGCTTAAAATGTATCCAGTAAACTAAGCTTAAAAAAAAAAGACGCGAAGATACATTTTCATCTAAAGTATTTATGTATAGGATTGTGTAAAACATTACATGAGACTAGACAACCCATGACCCATTGGGTCATCATTTCAGAGATATTTCCTTACCTAAACAGTGAAATAGAATGATGTCTAGGGGAGGGAGAGAGGGGGGACAAAAAAACAGTGGGAGCAGTAATAACTTCTGACTTCCTACTGGCTCCCTCATTGACTTTCCTTGTAAGAAGCTGACAGGGAGCATTGTGGCAGCACTGAAGTGATCACAACTTTGCCAAATTTCAATCCCATAGTAGTCATGGACCCTGACCCTGGATTTTGGATTTATTCGTTAGGATTGCCCATTTATGACATGTTGATTCAAAAATTGTTGCCTTATTATACATTAGTCTGCATTGTATTTTAAGCAACAACCAGCTCTAGCCCTGTTTAGTTTCTGAGGCAGACAAAGATTAAGGTCTGGTCAGTTTCAGGCAGCAGTTGCCAGACTAAGGGAGGATTCTAATCAACTAATTAAGATCACAGAGCTGTAGACTATATTGGGACATTGATAAACTTCCAGAAGCACAAGGTGAGAAAGAGAGAGAGAGCAAGAGAGAGAGCAAGAGAGAGAGTGAACGAGCAAAAGAGAGATACTGCAAAGATTGTTGGTTGCTGCCATCTCATTCCAATAACATTTATTGTATAATGTCCTGCCTGACATGCAGTTAGTACTTTTTAGGGAAGAGCTAGCTATGGAAAAAAAGCATTTCAGGAAAAGACAAGTTTATTTCAGCAATCTTTCTGCCTGGCAAGAGGGGAAAAATGGGGAAAAAAATCCAGGTCCTCATATCAAAAAAGCAATATTAAATGAATGCCTATAATCTCATTTTAAATATCTTTCCAAGCAGAGAAAAAAATGATGTCAAATCAACCACATTACTCATAAATTCTAAACTTATGAAAAAGAAATAACATTACAAAATGGATTTTCCACAGTATGATTTACACCACCTTTTTCTAATTAAAAAAGGACAGCCTCTGTTTTTTGATAATGCTGAATAGTAATGCTACATCAAAATGATCCTTCTCCACTCTAGAGTTACCTAAGCAGGGGATGCTCAGGGTTCAGTTCTCTCTATATATGATGTGCATGTTTTTCCTCATTTCTCTAAAATAAAGCAAAAACTAGCAAGAAATATAGTCCACCAGGCTTCAGTGGGGAACTTGAGAGAGATAATCAGTATTGCATTGTCATTTAATTTATTTCCTGATTCTAGCAATTGGCTTCAATCCAGTCCCTTCAAATCTATTATCACTCTGGAGAGCATATGACTGATCATAAGTTTCTATGGTGAAATTTAAAAAATGCATTGTTGTCAATTCTATATTATCGCTAGCACATCTTCTTGAAAATAAAGATTTATTGGATTTATTTATTTAGTATATGGCATATTATATATGGAGTTGCAATGTATATTGATATTTTATCTAAGTTAAAAACAATATTAAATATTAAAAAATATTACTATATTCAGGTACCCATGTCTAGGCTATCTAACCATTGAAGTGCAGCATCATTTATATGAAAAAAAATCAGATACTGGACTGGTATATGAAAACAGTAAAGAAACACAGATTCTCTAGTTTTCTACACAGATTTGGTAGAAAATTCAAGCAGAAGATAGTGGTTCCTTGCCTTCTTTCACCTGCATTAAAGGATTTGAAAAAAACCAACCCTCCATTGTTATTCAGAAAACACAATGAAATGATGTAATCATCCAGTGCTTTTTTCAATTTTAACATAACACAATCAAGAAGAGACACTTAGTATAAACAAATGGTGTTTGGGACACCATTGTCCTTTGGTAAGAGGTGGAAAAATCAAAAAGGCTTGCTACAACTCTTTAGTTTATAAATAATAATATTTTAGGGGTATTTTGATAGACACTGAAACACAAATCTTTCCATCTCCTCAGTAGCTTCAGCTTCTCCTACTGAATTTCATAGTATGCTATCACTGGATTCCTTCCACATTGTGAAAGCCTTTATGGGCACTTTGACTAGAAGTGTGAGTGAGAAGAATTCTTTCTCCAGATCACTTTTCTCCCCAGGTGCTCTCCTCTCTATTACTGTTAAATAAACAAGCAAAAACCTTAGGAGCACATCCAAATGTTTCAATGCAGTTCTCTCTTTTTTTTTTAAAAAAAAAAAAAGGCAAGAAAATACACATATATGTAAAATGTGCATAGAAAACTAAGTGTACATTTCTTTGGGTTTTAAGCTTTAGAAAATAGATTCAAGGATATAATCCAAAAAAGTATTAACTACCACTTGAGAAACCAGTCTGAGGCATCTCAGCAAAAGAGGTACACCAAAAAGAGACCTATGGTGAGAAGACCTTTGAAAGCAAAGTTAAATAGCTCAGGATTTGAGTTTGAAGAGGAACAAATGCTGACCAAAATATCAACACTTCAGAATGGTGTTTCTTCTTCATGATCAAGGTATTTCCCCTGCCAAATAAGTAAGTGGTTACAGAAAATGATGAAAAAACATATGGAGTTTAAGCCAGAATTATTTTTGTATGTATATAAAATCACAAGTGCTTAAAATATTATCAGATTCAAGATATTGAGGAAATTTGCTTCTTATTTTGGATAGCAATTTGGAGGAAGAGCACACTTTCCAGTAATCTTCTAGGAGAAGAGATCACACGATACTCTGCAACACATGGGATCATTTTTACTTGCATTAGGGATGGAAGTAAATTGTAAGTAGTAAATTTTCATCTACATATTTCCACAAACACACTTCTTTAATGTCTTTTGAACATAAATATGTACCATAAATCACTTGTATATCAAACTCTAATATGGAAATATTTTGTACAAGGGGGAAGAGTCACAATAGACCAGGGGTGTCAAAGGGCCGGCCTGCAGGCTGGACATGTCATCTGGAAGCCGCGCCCACCCCATTGCTGGCAATGGCAAAACCGTCCCAATACATTGCGCGACATCGCAAGTTTGACATATCTGCAATAGACAAACTGGAAGAGAAATAATTGAAGTAACACTAGCACATAGAATAGAATAGAATAGAATAGAATAGAATAGAATAGAATAGAATAGAAGCTGGAAGGGACTATGGAGGTCTTCTAGTCCAGTCCCCTGCTCAAGCAGAAGAACCTATACCATTTCAGACAAGTGACTGTCTAGTCCAGGCCTATCAAACTGCTGGCCTGCGGACTGGATGCATCACGCCGAAACCGTGCCCACTCTATTACGGCAATGGGGAAGAAGTTGTAATACGTTGCGTGACGTCATGTGATGTCACGAGTTTGACATGCCTGGTCTAGTCTCTTCTTAAAAATCTCTAGTGATGGAGCACCCAGGATTTCTGAAGACAAGCTGTTCCACTGGTTAATTGTCTTCACTGTTAGGAAGTTTCTCCTTAATTCCAGGTTGCTTCTCTCTTTGGTCAATTTCCAGCCATTGTTTCTTGTCCTGCCCTCTGGTGCTTTGGAGAATAATTTGACCCCCTCTTCTTTGTGGCAGTCCCTCAAATACTGGAATACTGCTATCACGTCACCCTGATTTCTTCTTTTCTTTAGACTAGCTAGACCCAAGTCCTGCAACCATTCTTCGTATGTTTTAGTCTCCAGGCCTTTGATCATCTTAGTTGATCTTCTCTGAATTTTTTCCAAAGTCTCAAGAACTTTTTTGTAGTATAGTGACCAAAATTGATTGCAGTATTCCGGGTGTGGTCTTTCTAGGGTTTTATGAAGCAATACTAATACTTCATGTGATCTTGATTCTATGCCTCTGTTTATACAACCCAGGATTGTATTAGCTTTTTTGGCTGCTGCTGCATACTATTGGCTCATATTCAAGTGATCAGGTTTGGGTAAGCAAACGCTTCCATTGATGAAAGCCATCCAGGTATTTTAATATAAAGTTTGGCTTTTATTTTCTCCCATTCTAAGAAAAGTGCCTATTATGATTTTGAAAATATCTATGTATTTTATTCTTCCCATACCACAGAAAGGCATGCCATCCCAATTGTAGGTCATGCCTTGGATCCATAGCTGGCTGACCGGCTGTACTCAGCATGTGGTCCTCAATGGAACTGCATCTACATGGAGGGAAGTGTGTAGTGGGGGTGCCCCAGGGCTCTGTTCTGGGCCCAGTGCTCTTCAACATCTTCATCAGTGATTTGGACGAGGGGATAGATGGGGAACTCATCAAATTTGCAGATGACACCAAGCTGGCAGGAATAGCCAACACTCCAGAAGACAGGCTTAGGATACAGGAGGATCTGGACAGACTTGAACACTGGGCACTATTTAACAAAGTGAAATTCAATGGTGAAAAAAGTAAGGCTCTACATTTAGGCAAGAAAAACCAAATGTACAAGTATAGTATAGGGGGTATCTTGCTCAATAGTAGTAACTGTGAGAGGGACCTCGGAGTCCTAGTGGACAATCACTTAAATATGAGCCAGCAGTGTGCTGCAGCTGCCAAAAAGGTCAACACAGTGCTAGGCTGCATTAACAGAGGGATAGAATCAAGATCACGTGAAGTATTAATACCACTTTACAATGCCTTGGTAAAGCCACACTTGGAATACTGCATCGAGTTTTGGTCACCACGATGTAAAAAAGATGTTGAGACTCTAGAAAGAGTACAGAGAAGAGCAACAAAGATGATTAGGGGACTGGAAGCTAAAGCATATAAGGAAAGGCTGCTGGAATTGGGTATGTCTAGTTTAATGAAGAGAAGGACGAGGGAGGATATGATAGCAGTGTTCCAATATCTCAGGGGCTGCCACAAAGAAGAGGGAGTCAAGCTATTCTCCAAGGCACCTGAAGGCAGGACAAGAAGCAATGGATGGAAACTAATCAAGGAGAGAAGCAACCTAGAACTAAGGAGAAACTTCCTGACAGTTAGAACAATTAACCAGTGGAACAACCTGCCTCCAGAAGCGGTGAATGCTCCAACGCTGGAAGTTTTTAAGAAGAAACTGGACAGCCATTTGTCTGAAATGGTATAGGGTTACCTGCCTGAGCAGGGGGTTGGACTAGATGACCTCCAAGGTCCCTTCCAACTTTATTATTATTATTATTATTATTATTATTATTATTATTATTATTATTATTATTATTATTATTATTATTATTATTATTATTATTATTATTTATTCCTCCTTTTATATGACTCTGTTTCTAGGACATTTGTTGGCTCTAATGATCAATTTTATGTCGTGGGCCTTGATCTCTGATTTAGCAATGTTGAAATATCTTGGGATTACTAAAGTCAAAGGCAATTTAGGCCAATTCCTCCCTTAGCTGCACATGTTGTTTCATGTGATTGTCAAGAAACGTTGTAATAGCTCATTTAGAAAATCATTAAAAAATAGCATATGACTGTAGCAGTTTTCTTTCCTTCACAAAGCAACATTTTGCCTTCCAAAATTTATCTTTCTAAGAAGATGGCCACCTTATGCACAATGTTCCCATTGTTTTCAGACTAGTGCATTCCATATACTTCTACTTCATTCAAAAATCTTATCATTACCTCTTATCATCTGCTTGTCTTCCTCTTAATTGTTCAGTGATTCATAACATATACAGTACTAGAGAATGGGATGAAGGACTGTTCTAATCCTGAAGAAAATTTCACATGGGGCCAAATCAATGTTTTGAGTTATATGAGCAGTGAGATGGATGGGGCTGATTACTTTCTACCTAACCATTCATGTTCAGAAGCTTGTGTGCCTTCATGCTCATTTAACTGTTAAGGTCAATCATTTTTTCATGGGCTGTTAGCTAGGCTGAACACTGAGAAGACAGTGCTTCTGGATGCTGCTTATATGCCAACTCTACAACGAACCTGGCTGAAGCCATCTTGCTCGTTCTAGGTTGTCACAAGAAAGGGAGGGGATGCAGAGTATTATTGTTAGTCTAAACAATTCTGGGTCCTTTGGGAACCAAGGTCATTCTGTCAGTTAGCTTATAGGGTTGGGCGTTTTGTTAGAAAGCCCACCAAATTATTCTATTGGGGAACATAGCCGATTTCATAGCACTGGGGTGGGAAGTTTAACTTTGTAATACAGTAACTCTTTGGAGGGTATTTCAGACTTGTTTTCCCTTTTGACCATGCCGATATTTTGTAACCATGTTCTTTGAGGAAATCCCTAGCTTCAGAGTTCTGATTTTGTTGGTCTTATCATCGGAACCATAACTTTGTTATTATTAGCTGAATGAACATGACCAATATAAATAGTATAGAGATTATGAGGGGGCTTCAGTACCAATATCTTTCAACTCTAATTTCTGAAAAAAATTTTTTTTTGAGTGTAACATATCATCGACTTTTCTACTCTTGACTCCAGAATACAGAAAACATGGCAGACCATGACTCAATAAAACTCTTCCTTTCTTCCTTCCTCTTCCTCAATAAAACTAATAGAAGAGAATAGTAAGGGTGCTTCTAACAATGCCTTGATCCAAAATGCTGCAAATCCTGAAGAAGAATGGTACTTTAATCCCACTTTTCAAAGCTAAAAGGAAGTAACATACATTGTACACGTTTGCCTTTTGTGTTTCCTATATATATTATGTACTTTTGCCATTTTTGCCTCAAAGTCTGAGCAATAAATCCAAGAGGCAATTTGGAAAGACAGCAAGCCTCCATTTCTGCATGAAGTTGGCATGAAGATGGATACATGAATAGATGCAATAACTAAAGCTCTTGGATACATTATGTGGGTTTATTTTGAGGAGGAAAAATCTGAGTGCTTGGAGCTTGGGTCTAGGCCAAGTGGGAGTCTGCTGGAGGCCTTCTTGAACTGGATTTGGCAGGAGAGAGTGAACTGTTTTGAATTACCCTGCACATCCAATTTTGTCTCTGTGAGAAGCAATCAGATCTTAGGACCGCAAGCTATGGTAACCCATTGTGATGTGATTTCTATCTGGAACTTGGCTTAGAGCTTAAAATGGGACTTGGTAACAACCAGAAGAGAAGCAACCATGTGGAGGCAGCACTGAATCCAAAAATGCAACAATTTTGGGAGGGAGGGAAAGTTTGTAAACCACTTTACAAATGTTAAGACTTTTATTTGTGATAAGGACTAACCTTCAAAGGTTTGTTTGTTTGTTTGTTTGTTTATAAAATTTATTTGCCACCCATCTCATATCCAACAACTCTGGGTGGCTTATTTACATCAACCTACAAAGCTTAGGGGGATGGAAGGTAAGTAAAAAGGTGTGTGTTTAAATAAACACATACCTTGTACAGCTAGACCCAACCATATTGAACAACTTACATCCTATTTCTAATCTTCCCTTTTTAGAGAATGTGGTTGAGAAGGTGATTGGGTAACAATTTCAGAAGACCCTGGATGAAATGGATTATTTGGACTCCTGTCAGTTGGTGTGGTGGCAGTGTGGTGGCATCTCCAGTTAGGGTGGGGGGAAGAGTGAAGAGGTTAGCAAACTTAGAATCCTTTCAGAACAGAAAGTGACACAAATCTGACCTCCCCCAGAGTCCCTGAAGCAGCCAGTCTGGCAAGATTCTTATAAATAGGCAAGCAATAGTAAAGAAGCAACTCTAATCAGCAAGCAACTCTGATAAGCAAACAATTCTGGTTCCTTGCGCTTGACATCCGGGAGCACCAGGTAACTATCAGAGGACTGGAAAAGACTTTAAAAAAAAAAAAAAAAAAAAGGGTGGGGAGAGGGGAAAGGACCCAGGAAATTACAGACCAGTCAGA